ACAGGCGCCTGCCACAATGCCTGGCTATTTTTTGGTTGCAGTCGTCATTGTTGTTCAGTTGGTGCTGAGCTGAGATTTTCTATTTTTAGTAGAGACCAGGTCTCGCTTTTGTTTAGGCTGGTCTTGAACTCATGAGCTCAAGCAATCCACCTGCCTCGGCCTCCCAGAGTGCTAGGATTACAAGTGTGAGCCACCTTGCCCAGCCTTACAACATTCTTTACACCAGAAAGGATACTTGACAAATGTCTCCACAATCACTGGCAGATCTATGCTTAGAAAGTTGAAACGTGGGATAAAACTGGTGATGCTCACTGAAAAAGAAAAACAAGGAATAATGAATATTATTCATACCAGACAAGCAATAGCATTATGAATATTACCATAAGGTCAAAAATTTGGTTAACTGATTAAACTGATTAAGAAAGCCCTTCCCAAACATATGCAGGCTCCAGAAATGCAATTGATTCTTCTAGAACATCTAAAAAATAGTGGAATGAAAATATCCATGTCCCAGTGTGTACTTATATTTTGAGGTAAAAATAATATAATGTGGACTGTATACCAAATATGATATCCAAATACAGAAACTGACTTTAAAAAATACACTATAATTTATATCAAAAGCCTTTACCCTTTCAAAGAGGCATAACCTTATCTTTTTTTTTTTTTTTTAAGACAGAGTCTCACTTTGTCCCCCTCAGTAGAGTGATCTCACAGCAACCTCAAACTCTTGGCCTCAAGTGATTCTCTTGCCTCAGCCTCCCAAGTAGCTGGGACTATAGGCACCCACCACAATGCCTGGCTATTTTTTTAGAGATGGGGTCTCACTCTTGCTCAGGCTGGTCTTGAACTCATGAGCTCAAGCAATCCACCTGCCTTGGCCTCCCAGAGTGCTAGGATTATAGGCATGGCGCCTAAGAGGCATATCCTTAAAATCACACATTTACTCCAACTATAAGCTATCTAAACTCTTTGTGGGCTCAGTTTTCCTCTTCATTGCTAAAACAAAAATTAAGACGAGGGGATTTTTTTTTTACTTTATTATTATTTTTTTTTTACTGTTGCAATTTGACCAGGGCTGGGTTCAAACTCACCCTCAGTATATGAGGCTGACCCCCTACTCACTGAGCCACAGGTACCACCCAGACAAGGGGATTTTTTTTTTTTTTTTGAGACAGAGCCTCAAGCTATCCCCCTGGGTAGAGTGCCGTGGCATTACAGCTCACA